TCAGCCTCCTCAGGAAGTACAGCTGCCGTTGGGCCTTCTTGACCAGCTGTGTGGTGTTAAGTGTCCAAGTGAGGTCCTCACTGATGTGGACACCCAGGTATTTGAATCTGCTCACCCTCTCCAATTTGATCCCCCAGTTGAACAGTGGGTGATGAGTTCTCCTCTCCTTCCTCATGTCCACTATCATCTCCATTGTCTTATCCGTGTTGATGCTGAGATTATTGTCCTCGAACCATGACACCAGACCGGCCACCTCCCTCCTGTAGGCTGCTTCGTCCCTGCCAGTAATATGACCTATCACTGTGGTGTCGTCCGCGAACTTTAGGATGATGTTGTCTTTGTGGGAGGCGACACAGTCGTGGGTGAACAGGGTGTAGAGGATGGGACTGAGGACACATCCCTGTGGGGTGCCGATGTTTGTGATAATGCTGGCTGAAGTCCTATTGCCAATCCTGACAGTCTGGGGCCTGCCAGTCACAGAGGGTGGGGTGCAGACCCAGTGTGGACAGTTTGTGGGTGAGTTTGTGGGGATAACTGTGTTGAAGGTGGAGCTGTAATGAGTGAAGAGCATCCTAATGTAAGAGTCTCCATTTTCCAGGTGAGAAAGGATATAGTGGAGGGATGGCATCTGAGGTGGGCATACTGCAGGGGGTCCAGGGTGTCCGATATACTGCTCTGAATGCGGGCCAGCACCACTCTCTGAAAACACTTCATTATAATTGGGGTGAGTGCCACTGGCCTGTAGTCCTTCAGGCAGGTGACCGGGCTTTTATTGGGAAGGGGGATGATGGTTATGGTCTTAAAGCAGGTGGGAATGGTGCTCTGGCTGAGAGAGAGGTTGAAGATGGTGGTGAGAATGTCAGCCAGCTCGCTGGCACATGCCCTGAGAGCCCTCCCAGGGATGTTGTCCGGTCCTGCTGCTTTGCGGGGGTTGATTTTCCTCAGGACTGTGTGTACCTGGCCTGGTGAGACAGTTAGTGGAGGGGTGGTCTCTGTGTGTGTGCCTCCTCTCTGTGCTGTGGCTGGAGGTCTGTTGGCAGGTGAAATAATTCATCCGTGTCAAGGATGGTTTGTAAGATTACAGAAACTTGAAAATGAACAAAACACCAAAATGAAATCCTTTCACTGTTTTATATAGATTCAGGACCCTGTAGTCACTCGGGTCTAACTCTGCATGCATTTACAAAACTGCACTGAGCTGCTGTCCATGGTGCTGACACGGTCTTGTGTATTGAGGCTGTGGGTGCGATCCGTGGGGCTGTTGTGAAGCACAAATATTGCAGGTTATACAATATCCTGTGTCTTACTGTTCAGGACTGAACAGACAAAAGGCATGTAAATAGGCATTATGTTAATAAATGACACGAAAGGTTTATTGAACTGCATATTTCAGATAGATTTATTTTTTGTGGAGTCTACCTCTTGGCGCAAAGTTTTCCAAAATCTAACCATTCATTTTAGCTTTAGTTCGGGATTGATTTTTCTCTACTGCACTTTGTATTACAATTCCCTTCTGTTCTGAGCCGTATTTCAGTATACAGCAGAGTCACTAAATGTCGCTAGAGACCATACAAATATCGTGTGCTCAGTGATCAGAAACTCCACCTCTATTCATTACAAAAAGGAAACGTCATCATCGGGCAGAGCTTTGTGAAAACGGCGTAGAGAAGACTGAAGCCCTAAAGAGAGAGGACCCTCAGCGAGACCGGATACATACAAAATCTACTGTTTCATTTTTCGTGGATAAACCAAAAGGCAGAAACCAAGATTGGTCGCTTTTGTTTAACCAGCGATGGCTGCGTGGGAACAATGGGATAGTATCGGGGTTCTGGTTTTCACTCTGCTTTGTCTCTGCCACTGGTCCGTGGCTCAGATATCCTATTCCATTTCAGAGGAAGTGGACAAAGGAACAGCGGTGGGAAATCTCGCTAAGGATTTAAATCTCAGTGCACAACGACTCGAATCCACGGGTCTTCAGATTACCTCTGGGTATAATAAACAGTATTTTGACATAAATTATGGATCTGGAGTACTTTTCGTTAGCGAGAGGATAGATCGGGAGGAGCTTTGTCCTAACACGGTAAAGTGCTCTTTAAATCTAGAGGCCATACTGAGTAACCCTCGCAGCCTTCACCGCATTGAAGTTGTAATTTCTGATATTAATGACAATACTCCGTCATTTCTGGAAGAAATAACTACAGTAGATATGTCTGAGTCTTCATATGTCGGAGAAAGGCACCCACTACCGACAGCTCATGACGCAGACGTAGGTGCTAACTCGATAAAGACGTACAAATTAAATCCGAACGATTATTTCTCCTTAGATATACAGAACGCCGATGACCACAGTGTGTCTGCTGAGCTAGTGCTGCAGAAAGCATTAGATCGAGAAAAACAGACCGTGGTTGAACTCACTCTGACTGCAATAGATGGTGGAAAACCTGCCAAAACAGGGACACTGCAGATAAAAGTTAATGTGCTGGATGTAAATGACAATTCGCCCGTGTTCAGCAAATCACTCTATAAAGTCCAAGTAGTTGAAAATGCAGTCATTGGCACGAAGCTATTAACGCTGTCAGCTACTGATTTAGATGACGGTGTTAATGGCCAACTTGTTTACTCTTTTACAGAAAGGGGGCGTTTAAACCTTGCAGACAAATTTGCGCTGAATGATAACACTGGAGAAATGACTGTGAAAGGCGATATTGATTATGAGGAAAATCAAGCGTATGAGATTCGTGTTCAAGCACGAGATAAAGGCACTCCTCCTCGCAGTGCACATAGCAAAGTCTTAGTCGAGGTTATTGATGTCAATGATAATGCTCCACAAATCTCAGTGTCATCACTAATGAGTCCGGTCAAAGAGGACGCTGAATTAGGCACAGCTGTTGCTATGGTAACTATTATTGATAAAGACGGAGGCAAAAATGGCCTGACAAACTGTAAAATAACAGGGTCAGTTCCATTTAAGTTGAAATCTAACTATAAAAACTACTATTCTTTGTTGGTGGATGGGCCTCTTGACAGAGAGAGTGTTTCTCAGTACAATGTAACAATTACAGCTACAGATGAAGGAACCCCCCCTCTGTCCACAACCAGCGTCATTACTCTTCACATTTCTGATGTCAATGACAATCCTCCTCGATTCGTGGAACGTATGATTAGTGTCTATGTGAAGGAGAACAGCCCGATCGGAACTACTATTCATACACTGACGACATTAGACTTAGACTTAAATGAAAACGCAAAATCAACATATCAGCTAATTAACAGCTTTCAAAAAATAACGCAAATGATTAACATCAACTCAGAGACAGGAGACATAGTCAGTTTACAGTCTTTTAACTATGAGCAGATGAAAACCTTTCAGTTTAAAGTCCAGGCCACAGACTCTGGTGTTCCTCCGCTCAGCACCAACGTGACTGTCAACGTTTTCATCCTGGATGACAATGACAACAGTCCCTCGATTCTCGCGCCCTATTCTGAGCACGGCTCCGTTAACACTGAGAGCATCCCCTATTCTGCTGAAGCGGGATACTTTGTGGCAAAGATCAGGGCTGTAGACGCTGACTCGGGATACAATGCGCTGCTTTCTTATCACCTCTCTGAGCCCAAAGGAAACAACCTCTTCCGGATCGGAACCAGCACCGGGGAAATCAGGACTAAGAGGAGGATGAGTGACAACGACCTGAAAACTCACCCCTTGGTGGTGCTGGTCTCTGATAACGGAGAACCCTCCCTGTCAGCTACTGTGTCTATTGATGTCACGGTGGTTGAAAGCTCAGCTGACATCCAGACTCAGTTCAGACATGTACCCATAAAGGAGGACAGCTTCTCGGATCTAAACCTGTACCTGCTGATTGCCATCGTGTCGGTGTCAGTCATCTTCCTACTGAGCCTCATCAGTTTAATAGCTGTGAAATGTCACAGGACAGACGGCAGTTTCAGCAGGTACAGCGCCCCCATGATCACCACCCACCCTGACGGGAGCTGGTCTTACTCTAAATCTACTCAGCAGTATGACGTCTGCTTCAGCTCAGACACGCTCAAGAGTGACGTAGTGGTTTTCCCCGCACCGTTTCCACCTGTAGACGCGGAGCTGATCAGTATTAACGGAGGAGACACGTTTACTAGGACTCAGACTTTACCCAGTACAGATAAGGTAAGAAAAATGGGACCTTTACCATCTCAAAACACTCTTCTTTCTCACTCTTTCTCAGATCCATAAATAACAGATTTAGTTTAGCTGTGAAAAAGTACGTTTAGAAGTGTGTGGCTTTCTGCTTATTTACTATATTTTAAAACTTGTGGTCATTGAAAAGTTTATCTTGAGATAAGAATGCTGACCTGCCTGCCTGACTCTATGTTTTGCAGGATTTTGGCTGGGTTTTTTTAAACCTGCTTGTCAAAATTATCATTTTGTAAAATTTAATAAAATAATAAAAGACGAATTTTCAGTTTTAAATTTAAATTAAAGCATTTCAGTCACCTTTTTACCATGAGGAAAAAAGCATGTGGAGTTCTTCTAGGTTTCATGTGAATACAACCTGCGTTTCCATACAAATTATATTAATGCAGTTGGGGTAGGTATCCACATGGTGACACTATAGACCGTGGCATCGAAAGTTGCTACGTAGTATCTTGACGCTCCTCCCAGTATTAGAACACGATTCAAGTGTCCAGGCTTTGTCACAAAGAGAGAACGAAAAGACAGAGGAGCCGTCCGTTTTATGCAGCAGATCTGACGCAGTATTAAGTTATATTTTACAGTACTTGTAAAATTCAGGGCTGGGCTGTTTGTATCGGATCCATGTTGCAATTTCTTTTTGGAAAAATGCGTGTACCAAAGAGGATGTCTATTGTTTCATATCTGGTGCTTGCTATACTGGAGTGTTTCTGGGAAGCGGAGTCTGTGCAGCTCTCCTATTCTGTGTTAGAGGAAGTGAATCCGGGGACCTCTGTTGGAAATATCGCAAAGGATCTAAACCTCAGCCTTCAGGATTTGGAATCTCGTATGTTTCAAATTGTTAGTGGCTCAGAGAGAAAATATTTCGAGGTAAACGTAAAGACTGGTGGGCTCTACGTTAATGAAAGGATAGACAGAGAGGAGCTCTGTGCAAAGGAAACTAAATGCACAGTCAGTGTGGAAGCAGTGATAAACAATCCTTTGAAGCTGTATCGCTTAGAAATCAATATACTAGATGTGAACGACAACGACCCGGTGTTCACCGAAAAATCTCAAACTGTAGACATAGCAGAGAATACACTGCCTGGCATGAAATTCGCTTTGTCTGAGGCTGTCGATGCAGATGTAGGTAAGAATACGGTTAATGCATTTAAATTAACACCAAATGAATATTTTACTCTCGCGACAGTTAAAGGAGGAGAAAGTGTGTCTGCCGAGTTGGTGTTACAAAAGTCACTGGATCGAGAAAAGCAGGCTGTTATACATCTTACCGTGACTGCTATAGATGGAGGGACTCCACCGAGATCTGGCACGTCACGGGTCATTATACAAGTTTTAGACATAAATGACAACCCTCCAGTGTTTAGTAGTCCGTTGTACAAAACTCGAATATCTGAAAATACGCCAACTGGGAGGACTGTGATCACACTAAATGCATCCGACGCAGACGAGGGGACAAATGGTGATATAGTGTATTCCCTAAGAAGTAAAGGGCAAGATCGTATATTAGAGCTTTTTCATATTGATCCAGAAACTGGTGTGATAATGGTTAAAGCAAATATTGATTTTGAGGAAAGTAAAGCCTTTGAGATCCGCGCAGAAGCAAACGATAAAGCTCAGCCACCGATGTCTGCTCACTGTAAAGTGCTAGTAGAAGTAATTGATGAGAATGACCATGCACCTGAGATCACAGTGAAGTCACTGTTAAAAACAGTGCAAGAGGATGCTGACGTAGGTACTGCTATTGCACTAGTGTCACTTGTTGACAAGGATGGCGGCAAAAACGGCGAAATGGAGTGTAAAATATTAAATAAAGTTCCCTTTACACTACAGACAAATTACAAAAACTATTACTCTTTAGTTGTTGATGGGACGCTTGACAGAGAAATTACTTCCAAATATAATGTCACCATATTAGCTACAGATGAAGGGATTCCTCCTCTCTCCAGCACTAGTGTTATTACCGTTCACATTTCAGATGTGAACGATAACTCGCCTCACTTCTCCGAACCTGTGGTTAATGTTTATGTGAGAGAAAACAGTGACGTTGGGTTAATAATTAAAACGGTGTCTGCGTCTGATGCTGACACTGATGAGAATGGCCAGGTGAGATATTCATTTGTAGACAAAAACAGACATGTAGTACCAGTGTCTGCAATGGTGACTATCAACTCAGAGACAGGAGACATAGTCAGCCTGCAGTCTTTTAACTATGAGCAGATGAAAACCTTTCAGTTTAAAGTCCAGGCCACAGACTCTGGTGTTCCTCCGCTCAGCACCAACGTGACTGTCAACGTTTTCATCCTGGATGACAATGACAACAGTCCCTCGATTCTCGCGCCCTATTCTGAGCACGGCTCCGTTAACACTGAGAGCATCCCCTATTCTGCTGAAGCGGGATACTTTGTGGCAAAGATCAGGGCTGTAGACGCTGACTCGGGATACAATGCGCTGCTTTCTTATCACCTCTCTGAGCCCAAAGGAAACAACCTCTTCCGGATCGGAACCAGCACCGGGGAAATCAGGACTAAGAGGAGGATGAGTGACAACGACCTGAAAACTCACCCCTTGGTGGTGCTGGTCTCTGATAACGGAGAACCCTCCCTGTCAGCTACTGTGTCTATTGATGTCACGGTGGTTGAAAGCTCAGCTGACATCCAGACTCAGTTCAGACATGTACCCATAAAGGAGGACAGCTTCTCGGATCTAAACCTGTACCTGCTGATTGCCATCGTGTCGGTGTCAGTCATCTTCCTACTGAGCCTCATCAGTTTAATAGCTGTGAAATGTCACAGGACAGACGGCAGTTTCAGCAGGTACAGCGCCCCCATGATCACCACCCACCCTGACGGGAGCTGGTCTTACTCTAAATCTACTCAGCAGTATGACGTCTGCTTCAGCTCAGACACGCTCAAGAGTGACGTAGACAAGAAGTAATAAGATCCTAAAGTACCAATGCCACAGTGTAAAAATACTAGAATTAACACTATCAATAAAACTATCAAAAATGTTTTATAAGACAATTTAAAAAGCTAAGGTTGTCATGTAAACGTGATTCCTTTTGTCAGTGATAGCAAATATTAACTAATGCTTTGGCAGCACATAAAATCTCACAGACCACTGTTATCCACAGCTTTTATACTCTCTGATACTGTGCAGCAGGTAGTAGAACAAGAAGTAATAAGATCCTAAAGTACCAATGCCACAGTGTAAAAATACTCTGTAACAAGTAAAAATCCCACATTCCAAATGTCACTTAAGTAAAATTAATAAAATACACATCTAATTAAACTTAAAGTAAAGATATAAATGTACCGCTTATACATGAATTATAGATTCATACTATTAATGTATTATTGTGTGCATCACCTTAATGTTACAGCTTGTAAGGATGGATTTAAATTGCTTATTAGATGATTATGTTTTGAATCTAATAAGTATGATTTAAACTTAGTTTCCCTACTGCTGGGAGCTTTGGGGGCGGCCGCGGCTCAGGTGGTAGAGCGGGTCGTTTCCCGGCTTGTCCAGTCAACATTTCAAAGTGTCCTTGAGGAAGACACTGAACCCCCACAGTTGCTCCAGGTGATGACAACGGTGTGTGAATGTGTGTGTGTTTGGGAGTGCAAATGGATGAATGGCCAAGTAGTGTGAAAGTGCTTTCAGTGTACTGTAAAGCATAAAAAAGTGCTATACAAGTATAAGACAATCTACTGTCTTGGCAAGAGTGTGATACCGACTAAATTAATTCAGACAAACCATTATAATTTAAAGGATCATTTAATATTACAATTATTCTAAATAGAGTAGTATTTAAACAGATAATCTTGTAGTTAGGGAACAGAGAACAGAGATCAGAGAACAGAGACTCTCCTCTTGCAATGGAATAGATAAAGCCTAAAGATTGCCAGAGCACCCGTCGGTCAGGTCATTTGTTGTCAGTCCTGAGTCAGTCAGCGTCTCCCCCAGCCGGCTGGGGCCCCAAAAGGTACCTCGGCTGCTGTTTACTGCAGCATGATCCTTATTCCTCTCTACCCCTGGCTCCCTCCTTTATCCGCTCAGCCACTAGCTACTTCTCAACAGCTGGACTCTGTCCCCCTTGAAGGACGGTTTACTCCCAATGTTCTGGCAAAGGCCCTCACCAAGGAACATCTCTGACCATAGTTGGGATTTAACTAGGATTCTAAGTATTAATTATATAACCACTTACATAAGCTAATACCAAATAAGGTCTATATGAGCTACATACTGTTCTATTACATATTTCCTCTGGAATCTGGTTTATTTTTTAACCACTACACTACCAGTTTAAATTTTCCACTGGATCAACCTTATGACTATACTGTCTTGGTGTTATTAAGCTGATTCTGAAAGCAACTCATAAATTTATCATATTATTCTAGTGGAGAAACGTTGAGTGGTTGCCTCAAACATTTAGTGAATTATGAAGTAGCACACTTGTACCCCACAGTACTTTAAAGGTACTTACTCTCCACCAGTAGGAGCGGCGCTCTCCATGGTGCTGACATCTCTCTGCCTTCCTCAGTCTTCAGCAGATCCCAGACTTGATGTATTTGGGTGAACTCATTGTCTTAGTTTGTCAGTAGGTCTGTACATTCTGAAAAATAATAATTGAATAAATACATGTTTATTTCTCAAAATGAACAGAAAAACGTTTATTTTGATATAAAGCAGCACAACATTAGGGACTACACAGGGATATACAGGTGTAGACGTTTAGCAAACAATAAGTTAGTAAAATAAGGAGAAACAAAATGAAGGGATCTGAAATATCATCATGGTTTGTAAAATGTGCTTTGTTTAATATTTCTGGTATGTTCAGCAAATAATACATACAGTAGGAACAGTCATGTGCCATCAATCGTTTATTCATTTATTTCATACACGTTTTAAATGTAAAGCCACTAAAGATGTTATCACCGTCTTGCCGGTTGCAGCTTCCTTCTCTGATTGAGCTGTTCTCCACAGAATCTAATCATCAATCGTACATTTCTGGTGTATTCTTTGAAAAACTACCCAAACATATGAGGCCTGGTTAGTACAGACTCCGCTGTGGTCTGTTAAAGGAGCACAAGATGCCGCTGGAGACCACACATTCTGTCTGTTTACTGACAACTTAAAACTCCTCCTCCGCTGTCGGTGATGTCACAGCTTGAACGTTTTGTAGGGGCTGGGTTACTATGACACTTTTGTCTTGAACGATGGTCCCTATATGAAGACAGCTTGGCTGCCTTTTGGATGTTTTACCGTTTTTATGGACGAATAACGATTGTTGGTGTATATTCTTTGTCTGACACCAATGATGAGTCGCCGAGATTATAGAGAGGCCGAATGGATGTTGTGCGCCATTATTCTTTGTTTATCTGACTGGTCTGCAGCTCAGATTTCCTACTCCGTTTCCGAGGAGGTGGACAAAGGGACAGTAGTGGGGAATCTCGTTAAGGATTTAAACATCCACGCACAGCAACTGGAGGAACGAGAATTTCGGATTGTATCAGGATACAGTAAGAAATATTTTGAAGCAAATTTAAGAACAGGAGCTTTGTTTGTTAACGAAAGGATAGACCGGGAAGAGCTTTGTCCAAATTTACCGAAGTGTTCCTTAAATATAGAGGGACTATTGAGCCATCCTATGAATGTTTATAGAATCGAAGTGAATATTCTCGACATTAATGATAATTCACCATCATTTCTGGAACAAACCCATGAGTTCAATATCTCTGAGTCTTCGTCAACAGGGGAGAGGTATCCGCTCCCATTAGCTCATGATGCAGACACGGGAGGTAATTCAGTGAAAACCTACAAATTAAGTCCGAACGAACATTTCTCCATAGACGTGAGCAGCGGAGGAGACAGTGCGTCTGCTGAGTTAGTGCTGCACAAAGCTTTAGACCGAGAGAAACAAGTCACTATTAAACTAACACTAACTGCTGTAGACGGAGGAAAACCTGCAAGATCTGGCACGATGCAGATTCTTGTGAATGTAATAGATGTTAATGATAACACGCCGTCGTTTAGCAAGTCGCTTTATAAAGTAAGTGTCAGGGAAGATGTAGCCATAGATACGACAATACTGAGACTAAATGCAACCGATTTAGACGAAGGGTCAAACTCGGACATCAAATATTATTTGATGAAGAGAGGAAACAACAACTCTCCTGATAAATTCATTGTTGTTCCTCAAAGCGGTGAAATTGCTCTGAAAGATAATTTAGATTATGAAGAAAACAATGCATATGAATTACGAGTACAGGCAAGAGATCAAGGCTCTTCCCCTCGAAGTGGTTACTCTAAAGTGCTGGTGGAGGTCGTCGATGTCAATGACAATGCACCAGAGATCTCTATAACTTCACTAATGAGTCCAGTTAAGGAAAACGCTGAAATTGGAACAGTTGTTGCACTAGTGACTGTGACTGATAAAGATGGAGGACAAAATGGTCAAACTACTTGCAAAATTAAAGACTCAACCCCCTTTAAATTAACATCAAATTACAAAAACTATTACTCTGTCATTGTTGACGGTCTCCTTGACAGAGAGTCGGTATCAGATTACAACATTACCATTTCTGCTATCGATGAAGGTAGCCCGCCTCTATCTAGCACTGCTTTCATAACTGTGCACATTTCAGATATTAATGACAACGTGCCCCGTTTCGCAGAAGCCAGTATAAATGTTTACGTAAAAGAGAACAGTAAAGTGGGAGATATTATCACAAGATCAACTGCCCAGGATGCAGACACAAATGAAAATGCTAAAGTGACTTACACATTGTTAGACAGTTCTACTAAAGATATTCCGATTTCCTCAGTTGTGAACATCAACTCAGAGACAGGAGACATAGTCAGTCTGCAGTCTTTTAACTATGAGCAGATGAAAACCTTTCAGTTTAAAGTCCAGGCCACAGACTCTGGTGTTCCTCCGCTCAGCACCAACGTGACTGTCAACGTTTTCATCCTGGATGACAATGACAACAGTCCCTCGATTCTCGCGCCCTATTCTGAGCACGGCTCCGTTAACACTGAGAGCATCCCCTATTCTGCTGAAGCGGGATACTTTGTGGCAAAGATCAGGGCTGTAGACGCTGACTCGGGATACAATGCGCTGCTTTCTTATCACCTCTCTGAGCCCAAAGGAAACAACCTCTTCCGGATCGGAACCAGCACCGGGGAAATCAGGACTAAGAGGAGGATGAGTGACAACGACCTGAAAACTCACCCCTTGGTGGTGCTGGTCTCTGATAACGGAGAACCCTCCCTGTCAGCTACTGTGTCTATTGATGTCACGGTGGTTGAAAGCTCAGCTGACATCCAGACTCAGTTCAGACATGTACCCATAAAGGAGGACAGCTTCTCGGATCTAAACCTGTACCTGCTGATTGCCATCGTGTCGGTGTCAGTCATCTTCCTACTGAGCCTCATCAGTTTAATAGCTGTGAAATGTCACAGGACAGACGGCAGTTTCAGCAGGTACAGCGCCCCCATGATCACCACCCACCCTGACGGGAGCTGGTCTTACTCTAAATCTACTCAGCAGTATGACGTCTGCTTCAGCTCAGACACGCTCAAGAGTGACGTAGTGGTTTTCCCCGCACCGTTTCCACCTGTAGACGCTGAGCTGATCAGTATTAACGGAGGAGACACGTTTACTAGGACTCAGACTTTACCTAATAACGAAAAGGTATGTGAACTTCAGTTTTCATTAAAGCACGTTTCCTTTATAGTTTCCATGATTTGCACAGTTCGATGATTAGTGGTGTATAGGCTATAACAGGAGCTGAAATAAGCTATAAAAGTAGCTCCCAGGTGTCATAGCAGCGATTCCAGCTGTGGGGGCACATATAATATTTTAGTCAATAAAAGCTGGAATTTACATAAAAATTTCTTAACACCACACAACGTCCCCTACCCATGTTTTTATGTTCCCGAGATGGCTGTCTGTGAAAGCAGGACAATTTGATAGTGTCACCTCTGACCAGCACAACAATACACTGTGTCCGTGTAATTTAGGGAACTGTCTGTGGTGCTGATAATAGTTGTGGCAACCTTTTGGTGTTGTGTCTTGTTTTTCATTTATTTATTTGGTAAAATCTACCAAGAAAATAATAATACAAATATTTGTAATATTACTATTACTACAATCATATCAGGCCTAAACAATCCCAAAAATAAAATTACATTTTACACTGCAACTGCCCATTAAATATATTGACTTAATTTAACTTCCGACTTTTCAGTTTTACACTTGAAAACGTCCATGTTTACATATGAAAAATGACACTCAAACTCAACCAGAGAAATCACATTTGATTTTGTTTCCATACACTAAATGCAATTTACAGTATAATACTTTAGATCGCTGCGTTCGGTGTTATTCACATTTATAGATAACTTTCTATCATTTCCCACATGATGTCGCTGGAGACCACAGATATAATAATTACAGCATGTGTAAAACTCCACCCATCACGGCAAACCTAACACCGTCACTGGCCATCATCTTGGAGAGACACTCGGGTGTAGTCTGACAGGAAGGGTTGCTTCTTCGGATGGATTATAGCGTTTCAGACGGATATATACATGAACACTAAATGAACGATTTGCGGAGATTCTGGGTTCAATGCGCGACGATGGGAAACGAGGTAAACGCCTGGATTCATATTGTTGTACTGCTTCGTCTTTGTGACTGGGGCGCATCACAATTGTCTTACTCCATTTCCGAGGAGGTGAACAAAGGCACAGTGGTGGGAAATGTCGCCAAGGATTTGAACTTGAATGTACAAGATCTAGAGTCCAGGGACCTACGTATTGTTTCCAGTAACAGACGGAAATATGTTAACGTTAATTTGCGAACCGGGAATCTATTTGTTGACGAGAGAATTGACAGAGAGCAGCTTTGTCCCAAAGTGGAACAATGCTCCCTAAGAATACAAGCTCTTTTAAACAATCCGATGACGGCACATCCTATTGAGATCAGTGTTTTAGATATAAATGATAACTCACCAAAATTCACTGAACAGTATTACTGGTTAAACATCTCAGAGTCTGTGTCACCGGGAGAGCGATATTTACTCCCAGCAGCAGAAGATGCGGACATAGGCAGCAACACAGTAAAGAGCTACAAGCTGAGTCAAAATGAACACTTCTCCCTTGATGTGCAGAGCAGTGGGGATCACGGTGTGTCTGCTGAGTTAGTGCTGCAGAAAGCTTTAGACAGAGAGAAACAGTCGGTAATTAAACTAGTTCTTATTGCTGTGGATGGAGGTAAACCTGCTAGGTCTGGAACAATTCAGATAAATGTAAATGTCATAGATGCCAATGACAACACACCAGTTTTTAGCAAATCACTGTATAAAGTGCGTGTGCATGAAAATGCTGCACCTGAAACAGTGATAATAAAATTAAATGCAACAGATTTAGACGAGGACATGAACAGTAAGATCCTCTATTCTTTTATCAAACGAGGAAACATTGATCCATCAGATATTTTTGATCTAAAGTCAGAAACGGGAGAAATCACTGTGAAGGGAACATTAGATTATGAACAGGTGCCTGCCTATGAGGTCAGAGTTCAAGCAACGGATCAAGGCCATTTTCCCCGCAGTGCACATGCTAAACTGCTGATAGAGATAGTTGATGTGAATGACAACGCTCCAGAAATATCTGTGACGTCACTGATGACACCTGTCAAAGAGGATGCAGAACTAGGGACAATAGTTGCTCTGGTTACAGTCAGTGATAAAGATGGAGGAAACAATGGTGTAACGAACTGTAAAGTAGTTGGATCTGCTCCGTTTAAACTAAAGTCCAACTACAAAAATGACTATTCATTAGTAGTAGATGGACCACTGGACAGAGAAAACACGTCTCTTTACAATGTCACCGTTACAGCCACAGATGAAGGAAGTCCGCCTCTGTCCACTATGAAGGTCATTACTGTTCATGTATCTGACGTCAATGACAACGCACCTCGATTTATTGAGCCTGTGATTAATGTTTATGTGAAAGAAAATAGTCCAACAGGCTCCATTATTCATACGATAAATGCCTTTGATCCTGATTTAGATGCTAATGCAAAGTTGACTTATAGATTGTTAGACAGTTCTACTAAAGATATTCCGATTTCCTCAGTCCTGAACATCAACTCAGAGACTGGAGACATAGTCAGCCTACAGTCTTTTAACTATGAACAGATGAAAACCTTTCAGTTTAAAGTCCAGGCCACAGACTCTGGTGTTCCTCCGCTCAGCACCAATGTCACTGTCAACGTTTTCATCCTGGATGACAATGACAACAGTCCCTCGATTCTCGCGCCCTATTCTGAGCACGGCTCCGTTAACACTGAGAGCATCCCCTATTCTGCTGAAGCGGGATACTTTGTGGCAAAGATCAGGGCTGTAGACGCTGACTCGGGATACAATGCGCTGCTTTCTTATCACCTCTCTGAGCCCAAAGGAAACAACCTCTTCCGGATCGGAACCAGCACCGGGGAAATCAGGACTAAGAGGAGGATGAGTGACAACGACCTGAAAACTCACCCCTTGGTGGTGCTGGTCTCTGATAACGGAGAACCCTCCCTGTCAGCTACTGTGTCTATTGATGTCACGGTGGTTGAAAGCTCAGCTGACATCCAGACTCAGTTCAGACATGTACCCATAAAGGAGGACAGCTTCTCGGATCTAAACCTGTACCTGCTGATTGCCATCGTGTCGGTGTCAGTCATCTTCCTACTGAGCCTCATCAGTTTAATAGCTGTGAAATGTCACAGGACAGACGGCAGTTTCAGCAGGTACAGCGCCCCCATGATCACCACCCACCCTGACGGGAGCTGGTCTTACTCTAAATCTACTCAGCAGTATGACGTCTGCTTCAGCTCAGACACGCTCAAGAGTGACGTAGTGGTTTTCCCCGCACCGTTTCCACCTGTAGACGCTGAGCTGATCAGTATTAACGGAGGGGACACGTTTACCAGGACTCAGACTTTACCCAATAAAGATAAGGTAGGCCATATGTTAACAGTACTATCACATATAATGTAATATCATGGCTGTTTGTGAAATATTTACTAAATAGGTAACGTCCAAAGGTAGAGCGTCAATTAAACATCATAGAGCAGGCAACAAATTACTCACTGACTTCCAGTTTATTAAGCTTGTTGTAGCATCTGCTTTAACTCTTTATTATAATCCGTGTGCATTTAAGGGAATGGTATGTTGAGCATACGCTGCAAAAACGCAAGTTATAACATAACCTCTCAGGCATTCAAATTTGTGACACGTGATCTCTACCTGAAGTGATTTTTGCCATATGTCAAGCTTTATTTATTTAATTAATTATTTGCTCATTTGTTTTATTCATGTATTTGGTGAAGTGCTCGAACTGCTTATGAGTTTTAGTTATAGAGGGAATTTATATATCATTGTCCGTGGTGCTGAACTTTTCTTTGACTGACAGCTGCTTTTATATCTGTAAAAGGCTTTTCATTGGCTATTACCTGATCTGAAACAGGTGTCTATGTGTTGGCGAATTAGAAACATCGGGCTTATCTATTGTTATCATTACGTTGTCATTTAAATACCTCCTGATGTTAAAGGTAGTAACAACGGGGCGTTGTCTGTGGCACTGGCCACTGTGTTGTCAATATGTGCTTTATGTCATATCCTGGAGTGAAACTAACTGCCACTCCTAACTTAACACATCTAAATGTGAGGCTTTTAAAGGATCCTAATTATATTGCCGAAGTAAATGGAAAATACATTATATTTCTGCATATTCTACGTTATTTATGTTTTACAATAACTTCTTTAACCACTAGATTATTTATCTTTTCCACCGACAGCTTTATCACACTCTAAATATTAAAATACATGTCTACAAATCATTTCAGTCAATCATACATATTTAAATCAATCTGGCTGCGTGATGCACAGAACTGTATTCCATTCACCACGTGATGTCGCAAGAGACCGTGGACATGAAGCTGTTTGTGCGTCCAAAACCCCTCCTCTCTGCAAGGAAAAAAATGAAACCGTCATCAGTCACTAGTACATCTGCGGAAGGTGGCTGGCGAGAGTAGCAAGGGCTTGTCCAAAAACATCTACGTTGGAAATATCTGCACTGAGGATACATGATCGACTGGGTTCAGTCCGTTTGTTGCATCAAAGATGTATTGTCGACGACAAAAGAAACACGGCTGGATTCAGTTATTTGTGTTTCTTTGTCTTTGTGACCGGTCTGTTTCGCAATTGTCTTACTCGATTTCCGAGGAGGTGAACAAAGGCACCGTTGTGGGGAATATCGCAAAGGATTTAAACCTCAGTGTCCAAGAACTAGAGACCAGGGATCTGCAAATTGTTTCAAGTTACACTAAGAAATATTTTGACGTGAATTTACGGACGGGGAACATCTTTGCTGACGACAGGATAGACAGAGAGGAGCTTTGTCCGAATGTGGTAAAATGTTCGTTAAAAATACAAGCTGTATTAAACAATCCAATGACTGCATATCGTATAGAGGTTACTGTTTTAGATATAAACGATAATTCACCTGCGTTTGTTGAAAAAAAGCATTATCTGAATATTTCTGAATCATCCATAACGGGAGAGCGACACTTTCTCCCAGTAGCAGAAGATGCGGACATAGGCAGCAACACAGTAAAGAGCTACAAGCTGAGTCAAAATGAACACTTCTCCCTTGATGTGCAGAGCAGTGGGGATCACGGTGTGTCTGCTGAGTTGGTGCTGCAGAAAGCTTTAGACAGAGAGAAACAGTCAGTGATCACACTTGTCTTGACCGCTGTAGATGGAGGTAAACCACCCAGATCAGGCTCCTTACAAATAATAGTTAAGGTGATGGATGTCAATGACAATATACCCCAGTTTAGCAAATCGCTTTATAAAGTGCGTGTCAAAGAAAATGCTACTCCTGGTACACTTATAATAAAATTAAATGCGACAGATTTGGATGAGGGCATGAACAGTAAGATCCTCTATTCTTTTATCAAACGGGGAAACATTGATCCATCAGATATTTTTGATCTAAAGTCAGAAACGGGAGAAATCACTGTGAAGGGAACATTAGATTATGAACAGGTGCCTGCCTATGAGGTCAGAGTTCAAGCAACGGATCAAGGCCAGTCACCTCGTAGTGCACATGCTAAACTGCTGATAGAGATAATTGATGTGAATGACAACGCTCCAGAAATATCTGTGACGTCACTGATGACGCCTGTCAAAGAGGATGCAGAACTAGGGACAATAGTTGCTCTGGTTACAGTCAGTGATAAAGATGGAGGAAACAATGGTGTAACGAACTGTAAAGTAGTTGGATCTGCTCCGTTTAAACTAAAGTCCAACTACAAAAATGACTATTCATTAGTAGTAGATGGACCACTGGACAGAGAAAACACGTCTCTTTACAATGTCACCGTTACAGCCACAGATGAAGGAAGTCCGCCTCTGTCCACTATGAAGGTCATTACTGTTCATGTATCTGACGTCAATGACAACGCACCTCGATTTATGGAGCATGTGATTAATGTTTATGTGAAAGAAAATAGTCCAACAGGCTCCATTATTCATACGATAAATGCCTTTGATCCTGATTTAGATGCTAATGCAAAGTTGACTTATAGATTGTTAGACAGTTCTACAAAAGATATTCCGATTTCCTCAGTCCTGAACATCAACTCAGAGACTGGAGACATAGTCAGCCTACAGTCTTTTAACTATGAACAGATGAAAACCTTTCAGTTTAAAGTCCAGGCCACAGACTCTGGTGTTCCTCCGCTCAGCACCAA